TTTTTTTTGCTTACTAGCCTAATTCTCAAGCTACCAAATTACAGGCAATATATTTCTTAAAAGCAAGAGTTACTCATCTCTTATACACTGTACAGCCTACCAACATGACATTCATATGTTTACTAACATTACAATATTACTAATACTAATATTGCATTAGTCTATTCACTTTCTGAAGCAGCACTAATAGAGATTTCATTAATTCACTTACTTTTAAAGGTCATTCTCATTTTACAGTTTTTCTCATATGGCATTCAAAAGGAAGAAGGTGAATAATGACTGTCTCAAATTCTAAAAGACTGAATGTTTATAACCTTGGCTGTATAATATTAATTTAAACTGTGGCTATAAATATTAAAATAGAAACAGTCTCAGAATCTCAGAGTTGGAAGGTTTCCATATCACTCTTAAATGAGTATATTCTCAAGATGTGACAGTTAAGGCCAGCACTGAAACATGACGGGCTGGAAATCTAAATATCTACTGAAAAAACACCATGAGACTTATAAGATAAATGCATAAAAGGCTTCTAAAAGTGAAAGAAGAAACAAAATATAACTCGTTTCACAATCTAGTGTTGGGAAAGTCTTTTAAAGCAGGGGTGCCCAACCCCCAAGGCTGCAAACCGCTACTGCACAACAGGAGGTGAGTGGCAGGTGAACCAGCAAAGTTTCATCTGTATTTGCAGCTGCTCCCCAGCACTAGCATCACCATCTCAGCTCCACCATAGGTCATTAGGCATTAGATTCTCATAGGAGCACTGGTCCCTGGTGCCAAAAAGGATGGGGACCACTGTTTTAGAGCATAATGTAAAATTAGAAATCTTAAAGGAAAAGACTAACAGACACGTGATTATTGAACTTCCATGGGGACAGGGGTAGAGATAAAAACTCTTAAGTGAAGCTAAAGATATGAGAAATAGGGAGGGTATCTTTGTACTTGCTCATGCTCTTACTTCCCCTCTCAAGACACACACAAATGTACACATATGAAAACTGGGTGGCATTCTTAATATATACAACCCTTACATATTAAAAAAAAAAAAAAAAGATAGCCCCTCAGAAAAATAGGAACACCTATCAAGAGGCAATTCACAGATAAAATATGAAAGGCCAATTAGTATATGAAGACATGTCCAACCTTCCTAGTCTTCTCTAATAAATGTAAATTTTAAAAGGTACCTTTTTGTTTACCAGATTGGCAAATTCTGACTCAATACTCAAGGTTGAAGAGTGACTTTTAACCAATAATCAAGACATATATCCACAAAACATGTTAAATGCACAAATATTTTTAAATCCATACAAAGAATCTTCAAAATACCTATATCCAAAGTCTAAATATTAATAAAACATTAACAATTACATAGACTTTGAAAGAATAGCAGTTGTATGATGGAGAAAAAATTATGAAAGCCAGTAATGGTAATTTACTTTAAATTTGATTATAGGCTGATTGAAATATATCAATTCATAACAGGGGTTCCTATATTTATTCACCCTCCCCCATATTTTCATTCCCACCTTCTTTAATTCCTCATTTGCATCCTTTTCTCCATCCAGGATCCTTGCTTAGGTCTTTTCTC